CATTTGTTTATTTGTGAATCAATAACTGTTTTAGGAATAATGAATATGGTTCTTGTCACAATTGCTGATAAGTTGATTCTTTGTTTGGAACTTAAAATGTAGATCTGTGCAAAATATCCATTTATGGATCAATGCTATGGACTCTTCTCAACCTATGGACCTCAAATTTCGGTGCTTCTTCCATCTCTTCTCCTACCTCACTATATATGGAGCTATTACTTTTTCAATCATGTTAATTCCTTGAAAACAATATTTCTATTTCTCTGTAACCTGCTAATTTTGGAATATACTATCGTTTTCTTGCTAGTGCATTAAAATGGAAATATGAGAAATAGAACCAGTTTAAGAAGCATGAATCTCTATTTACATTCTTGGTTCTCTACGATAATTTTAGTTTTGCGAACTAGAAACCATTTAGGATTTAACTTAGAAAGTCTCTCTTAGCACCCCTCTGTGTATTTTCGTGAGTTAGAGTAAGCACGTCTCTGCTTGTCTTTGAGTTTTACTCTTATTAAAAGTCGGAACAATGTCAAGACAAGCAGAGAATCCGTTTCTCTGCGAAAGAGGCAGTTCTTTGAGTGTAGCATATTTACTGATGCACGTACTTATCCGTTTGCAATGGATTAGGGACGCATTATGCTGCCACTGAACTTGACTGAGGATGAAGGACCAATCTATGTAAATGCTAAGCAGTACCATGGAATCATGCGTCGCCGACAATCCCGTGCGAAGGCTGTCATTGAGAACAGAGCAGCTAGACTGCGTAAGGTATGACATCTGAATTCGGTAGGATGCAAGTTTGAGAAACAAAATGCACATCTGATGCAAAAATATTTCTCTTGTGCAATGACATAGTCAGTTAGAATGACCTACGATCTATTTTTTTTCTACAGCCGTATATGCATGAATCGCGCCATCGTCATGCAATGCGCCGACCAAGGGGCTGCGGTGGTCGTTTTCTGAACACTAAGACTATGAACAATGGGGACAAGGGAACTGAAGGGAAGCAAGTTGGTGATGGGCAGCTGTTTAGGCTTTCGGGTTCTCAGAGTTCTGAAGTCCTGCAATCCGACAGTGGAACTTTAAACTCGTCAAAGGAAACGAATGGCAGCATTTCAAACATATCCGGGTCAGAGGTGACAAGTATGTACTCTAGGGGAGACCTTGATTGCTTTTCAATCAATCATCTCGGTCCCTCCCTGCACTCTCTCTCAGACATGAGAGATAGTGCGCGTGGTATGGTCATTCCCACGAAATGGGTTGCAGCAGGAGATAACTGCTGCAACCTCAATGTTTGATAGCAAAGGAAAAGATGGGGTTGGTGCCAACTCCGTTGCCTCAACCCCATCTACTCGGCAACCAGATGGAGAAGCTGGGTTGCAGTTTCTGTTACGGCTGTTGCAACAGGCTTTCGGTTCTAGGATTGTCCTGCCCCCATTTGGTTGCTATCAAAAGGCAACTCATTCTTGGCTAATGCTTGCGGAAAAGTTTTCCTGCCGTTCGATGCAGTCAACCTGTTCGGGCGGCTAGCGAAAACAGCGGAAACCTTGAAGCAGCATGAATTAATCAGTAGACTATATATATGGCTCTCTTCCCATAAGAGGAATCAGAACTTGAGAGTCTGGTGTGTGTTTGTGCTAAAATTAAAAAATTAAAAAAAATGCTAAATTTCTTGTGTAACACTGTAATATCTTAGTGTCTGGATTTTTGACCTACTTGGTTGGTGTGATGTATAACTGAATGTTTGTGTTGTGTTCCGAACGTTTGGAAGAATAATGTATCATATTTTAAGACATATTTCTTGACTTGTTGATGTCAAGGAAGATGCTTTTCAAGTGTGGTGATACTCAAGCCAAGCACCTAAACAACACATATAGCATATTGTTCTAAGAATTCCCATCTAGACGCTACGTGGTTGGCCATCGTCTTGATTAATCCCTAAGCATTTGAAAATTAAGAAATGACGTCTAGACCTGCTTAGGCGCCGATCTAGCCGGTCCAGACCCGCCTAAGTTGTGACTCTCATTTGGACAAAAAATAAATAACTTTCAATGAATTTTTTTTTTGTTCAATAAATTGTAAGAGACTTGTTGATGATTTAGATAAACTCACATTATATGCTTATTCCCCATTGTTTCATTATGTTCTAATACTTTATAATCTATATGTTATTCTATTTTGCAATTTATATATCCTAATGTAATTATGTACTTTTTAAGTGTAAGAAGAAACTTATTTAAATGATAATATAATAAATTTACTTAAATCTGTCGAGTCCGCCTAGGACCCCGCCTACGCCCAGCCTAGGCCCTGCTGCCCAACTAGCGCCTACCTTCTTTTAGAGCAACTCCACCGTTGTTTATTGCCTAATTGGGGATAGGCAACCCAATCCACTCTCCCCTCCCCCAAAACACTCCAGCCCACTTGGGCAATAGGACCCAAGGAGAGCCCGATGGAGAAGTCAAACAATAATCGCCTAACTTAGTGCCCTACCTATATAATGTAAGGCTGACATCAACCACAATTTAAATTATTAAAAAATTAGAGAGAATATAAAAAATTATAAATAAAAAAAAAACTAATTTTTTTTCTATAAAGACGTAACCATGTTCTTCCATGTTACAGATACATAGCCACGTTCTTCCACTTTACATTACATTTCAATATTTTTGAATACTTTCAACTAATCTTTTATTATTATATGAAATTAAAAATAAAGTTATCTTTTATTATTTTATAAAATAAAAAATATTAATATTTTAATATGAATTGCCTGGGCTATTCAATTTAGGGGTGGAGATGAACTCGGACAGTTATTATTCATTGCAGGCAATTATAATTCATTTAAGGGGATTGAGTTGCCTATTGCCCAGGAGGCCTTCCTACATTGGAAGTGCTCTTAGAGCCTTGATATCAGGTGACGTTGATCAAGGCTCATTACCAAATTCACAGAGTAATACTTCACCATGGAATTTTGATTAGGGGTGGGTTCAAAAAACCGAAAACCGAAAAAAAAAAAACAAATCAAACACCGAACCAAGATAGAAAAAACAGAACCGAACTGAATTCTTTTGGTTTGGTTTCAGTTTTAGTGGTCTAGAAACCGAATCGAATTAATTAAATTAATTTTTATTTTATTTTATTTATTTAATTATCTGTTTTGGATATATATGTATGTGTGTGTGTGTTGGAATGTGTAATAGGTAATTATTATATTATTAAAATAACTAAAATTGGTTGACAAAAGTTGTATCAAGCACATGAGTGCTTGCTTTCTAAAGACAGAAATCTATCTCTCTCTTATTTTCTGTTGCCTCAGACTACTACCCATTTCTGAGATCTAGCAAAGAGCCATCTTGAGCCCAGAGCCAAACGGCTCTCTTCCACATTTCCATCAGTCCTCTCCCTCAAAACAACACATGCCTCCATTTCTCTTCTCTCAGCACAAATCTCATCGCTGCAACCAAAATCACAGAGCCTCCAAGGGTGCACAAGTCTGCAAACGAAATTGCAGACCTTGTTGAAGGATCAATCCCAAAAACAAACCCCCAAGGTAAAAATCTCTCTTGGCTGCTATCTAGTTTAGTGGGTTTATTTTCATGGAAAATCAAAGAACTAACACATGCATGCATTTTCTCTGCGAGAGCTCTCAGACCCACAACAAAAAAGACACACTGACACCCAATAATGTTAGATCCATGGCCGATCGTCCAACTCCTGATCATCAGTCATAGAAACAAAACCCCACTCCCAATCATCAATCATAGAATCAAAACCCTTATCAGGTGTATAGCTTCCATCTGCTCTTGACTGCCCAGTTAAAAATCATGGAAAAACCGAACTGGACTGAAACCAAACAAAAAAAACCGAAGAAAAACTGAACCGAACAGTAACTTCGATTTGGTTTCCGATTTCGGCCAAAAATCAAACCGAACGGAACCAAACCTACCCCTAATTTTGATTATCTTCACGAATGTGTGACGAAAGAGAGTGGAGTGTCAGAATCAGGAGCCTCTTTCATCACTCAAGGGTTTAGTATTTAGGGTTTAGGGTGTGTTTTACTATTTCAAAAATATCCTCAGTAAACAGTGTACATGAATCTCTCTGCAGACCTGCCTCTCTCTCTCTCTAAAGTATCTCCCTCTTCTCTCCCTCGCCAAGGTCTTTACCCATAAACTCTGGTTCCCAGCCGCCGGCCCCTCTTTTTTGGTTGGGGTCGGTGGCAATCCTTAAGTTTGCTTTTCCTGCAACTCTTAGCTTTCCTTACTTTTCTTGCTTTACTTTTGATCCTTGTATTTGAGCTCGGTCTCACTTTCCCTTAGCTCTGTCTCGGTTTCCTGGGCTCTGTCTCAATTTTCCTGGGCTGTTAGGCCTTTACCTTATATTTTATTTGGTTGCATTATTGCTTGGTTGTTTTGGTTTTTCTACGGACTTTCCTAACCTTGTATTAGGCTTTATTTAATGAACTTCACTTCTTTTGGTAAAAAAACAAAAAAAAACAGTGTACATGTATGTAAATAAAGGATATGGATTGTATGCCCTCCCCATCTCATACCCTCTTCATGTCCTCTTATTTCTGTGATCACGATTAAATCACGTCAACATTTTATATTTCAATTACTTTTTGTCTTATTATTTTTATAAAAAATCAATATAAAATGCTGACTTGGTTTAACCTTTACCACATAATATAGAAGGGTATGGGATGAGGAGGGCAGACAATCCATGTCTGTAAATAAAGGACTTGAATTGTTTGCCCTCCCCATCTCATACCCTCCACATGCCCTTCTATTTCTGTTGTCACGGTTAAGTCACGTCAACATTTTATATTCCCATTACATTTTGTCTTACTATTTCTATAAAAAAATCAATATAAAATATTAACGTGGTTTAACCATGACCACATAATATAGAAAGGAATGCGATAGAGAGGTCAGACAATCCAAGTCCGTAAATAAATCCATAAAGTGGGTGGGGGGGGGGGGGGGGGGGGGGGCGGGGGTTATCAAATGAAAATCCAAAAATCCAGAAAGCTTATCCATGTCCCACACGTGGGCATTCGTCTTAGTCAAATGGGAAGCCCCTCGTCCCGTCTTCTGCCACTCGAAGACCTTCCATCCCCAAACACCATTTCCTCCCACACAATGCTATCCATGGCTTCCACAAGCACTTCTTGTTCTTCTCCCCTCTGCAACAAAATCCCCAACTTCTCAATCTCCCGCTCACTCACTCCAATTCCCACCCACTTCCCACCACACATTAAACTCCTAAAACCCCTCGAGCTCAAAGCCTGTTTCCACAGCTTCCCTCACCTCTCTCCTTCCCCCAGTTTCCGCCGCTCGTTGGCGGCGTTTGACGGCTTCGAAGTCAAAGAAGATAGTGAAAGCCAAGCCGAACTAGACCCAGAAGCAGAGCTCCATGAAAAGCAAGAAGAAGAAGAAGAAAGAGAGGAAGTGCCAAAGAGCTCAGACGCCGGGAGGCTATATGTAGGGAATTTGCCTTATAATTTGACTTCGACCCAATTGGCTGAGGTTTTCGGGGAGGCTGGCACGGTGGTTTTCTCAGAGGTTTGAGCTCTTCTTCTTCATGTTTCCATTGTTTGATTTGATGGGTTTGTAAATTGTTGGTGATTGTGTTTGTTTGGTGTAGATTATTATAACAGGGTCACAGATAGAAGCCGGGGATTCGGATTTGTCACAATGTCAACTGTTGAGGAAGCTCAGGATGCCATTAGGATGTTTGATGGCTCTGTAAGTATCAGCGAAATGTGTTTCTTGTGTTAGTTGATTCTTTTAACACGAAAAAACTCGAGAACTGTTATTGACGCTCCAAGAATGTCTATCCTTCACTTCACCAAGTGCGATATGATATTTTTGGAATGTCAGTAACAGCTCCCAGAAACTCGAACTCTTTTCGGTTTGTTAATTGTGTGGGATGGTGGCAATGGTTGACAGCAAGTAGGAGGTAGAACTGTGAAGGTGAACTTCCCAGAAGTGCCAAGAGGAGGTGAAAGGGAAATTTTAGGACCCAATAGCACAAGGACAGGGTTCAAGGTGTACATAGATAGTCCACACAAGGTTTATGCAGGAAACCTTAGCTGGGGTTTAACTTCACAGGGTCTTAAAGATGCCTTTGAAGAGCAGCCAGGGCTGTTGGGTGCCAAGGTCATATATGAGAGGGTTTCTGGACGATCCAGAGGTTTCGGGTTTGTGACATTCGAAACTAATGAGGCTGCGGAATCAGCTGTCGCTGCCATGAATGGAGTGGTAAGAAAAGTTTGTTAATAGGTCTTTGGTACGCCGTATTGGACTTTGTGTATCTTATTACGTTGCCAGACTGAATACGAACAGTTGGTTATTAGGTTAATTCTTAAATCAACCTGCGGTCTAGGTTCACATGGTTCCGTAATAATCCGTGTGTTCGTGTATGAAATTGCAAAACAGGAGGTTGATGGGCGGCCTTTGCGATTAAACATGGCGGCAGAAAGAGCAAGGCATGTTGCTTCCTCTCCGGCAGCACCAGAAACAACTGCACAAGACACAGATAGTAGTGAATTGGTCTCGCCTCCTGCATCGGAAACAACCACAGAAGACGGAGACAGTGGCGAATTGGTTTCCAGCGTTAGCATCTGAATTTAACATTGCACTAAAGGGCAGCCTAGTACCAGTTTTACCAAACAAAATGATACCGAGGCTGTGGTGATTTTTCGGTTGCAGGGGCAAAGTGAGACTCGAGTTTTTCCAAGGAGCGAATAATTAGGCCTTAATCATGTATAAACGAATGGAAAACAATTTCAAAGTAATTTTGTTTCATGTATAAAATAAATCAATACAAATGTACCTATTATTTTAAAATGGGGCCGACAACTCGTTGGAATTTTTCTTCAGGTTCCCTGAACAATGGAGGTTTTCTTGTTTTAATGGTCAATTTTGTTAACATGGAACTGCATCGAGTTTTTATCATAACAACCACAATGATTAACTTCGTACTAAAACGTAATGCAGCCTGAGAACAAACAAATTAATCTCTTAAGCAAATTTAGGACAACTCCCAACTCCTCGGAGTAAGATAAAATCTCAATTTTCAGAGCCAGAGGCAGCTAGCAAATAAATACAGAATGCAGTTTAACTAATTTCCCTACCATCCATCAATGTTGTTGAGTATGTCACTTTTAGAAGAAAAAGAAGAGGTTTACGCATTGACATCCCAATAAAAAAGAGGAACTGAATAACCTTCGGCACGAAGGAGTTTGGCTTTATCACTGAGGGTCATGACCATCAAGTAAAGAATCTGCTGCAGAATCCAAATCCTGAGGAAAGAAAACCCTGCACAACAGTATGTTGTTATTAATCAAAGCTCATACTGTGCGGTGATTGATTCTTCTGGCAGATATGGTGTGGAAAAACTGGCACGATCATGATCAGCTTGCACTAACAAAATTCATAAAAGCCAAAATACACAGCGAGAGGTAAGGTTTACTCCATGAGGTTCACTGCACATCTAAAGCAAACACAGACTAGTACAAAATCCAGAGTCCAGGAACATTTACCTGCAAGTATTGTGATACAATGTCCGGCTCAGCTGACCTATGTCATTGATACCCTTACAACCAGCTACCACCTCAAGAACTTGCCTGAAAGAAAGAAAAAAAAAACCTCATGTTGAATGACGAAGCAGATACATAAATTAGGAGCTAAAACAAAATTCACTTCAGATAAACATGCACTTGCTAACAAGGAAATTGTCATAACTGGTATGGTCAAACTAAATTCCATGTCCTAATGTCAAGTTCATGAAATGAAAAATAGACGGACCACAATGTCTTAATATCAAGTTGAGCCAAACAAGAATGTAAGAGACGGACTTTTCCTGACAAAGATAAATGCATGTGTACTGCAGATGTCAAAGCCCAAGGTTGATGATCACTCAATTGACGCTGCAGATAGTATCTTCCCAATAAAATTTGGCTTGAGTCCCATCTATTATTGTACAAAATTATGCAGTACTATGGCTTCCTAAGCAGTAAATGGTTCGTGTTAGGGGAAATACTATTCATTGAACAGTAGAACAGTCCAACATCACGCTATAAGAGTTTTCTTCTTACACATTACAGGTTCATTATTCTTTTTACCACAAGAATAAAAGAAAAGAAATGGAGTTCATAATATGGTGGTAGAAAAATATTTCCACTTACCGAACCAAACACGGTTCATTGCGGTCTTTAACAATGCACTCTTGATCATACTTCTCTTTCTTCTTCGAAGGCCAAATGGACTTCACAAATTTAATCCCAGCACTTGTGTTCTTGATTCCACAATAAGGAGAGTCTGTCTCAATCATCATCCTCTCAATAGGAATGTCCCTCACAACGTCGAGATTCTCAGTTGTCTTCAGAGAGCAACCATTTACTCCTGTTTAGAACCAAAAGGTATTCATGACCTCTATCTAAACCAAGATAAAGTGTTCAATATGTCCATCGTAACTAGCAATTAAAAACTACTATTTTATATTCAAAGAAGCAAAAGAGGAACTTTGTTCTCTCCTTTCAAACTTCAGATATGCAATAAAATCAGAAAATTAAAAACGTCAATGCAAAACTTGTTGCTCTATTTGCACAGGTCACAAAAATTATATATAATCTTTTTTAGAAAATGATTTGTTAATTCGATCAGAAATTCATTCTTATGGTGCTCATTACTCAAGATTAAAATAACCAAGTGGCCATATGTGTTGTATAATGAGGAAAGAGAATCGGTAAATTATATAGGGCAATGAGACAAGTTAGACAAAAGATACCCCTGGCCCTAAAAAAGTAAATATTTAACCAAAATCCAGTCTATAAAAAAATAACTTTCTGCTCAACCCCATTTTGCCTGCACTGGGGTCATATTATTCTCTATAAAGCCCCCAAAATTTCCAAGTACCAGGGAATGTAGGCTAAATTAGTCATAGTGCACTACAGAATATTAGATAGAGGGATTTGTAAATGACTACTTGAAATGAGTCATTTGAAAATCCTTTATTTAGTGGCTTTGTAATGCTCATGTAGTGTGTTTTCAATCTCTCCTATTTAATGTTTTGTAGTGCATAACCATCAATTTTTAAGCATTTATCTACACATAGGATTTATAGAAAGAAACAGACATTGTAAACTTTTGCAGGCATAGAAAGATTTGTCTTAGAAGACATACTATTTTTTATAATTTTTTCACCTATATACATGTTGTTGATGGAAAGAAGTTTATCACGATCTTCTGCACTGCCAGTAAATGAGTGGGCGACCCCAGCACTGAATCTGTGAAATGGTAGAGGAAATGTGACACATCACGCACACATGTACAGCAGGCCACCATCACATAGAATTGAAAGACTATCATAAAAATTCATTTAGTGCAGTACAAGGCAAAATGGAAAGAAAACAGGGACGAGATAAACTTGCAGCTATTCTTTTCCTCATTAACAGAAATGATTATTCATCAGAAAACTAAAATGTCCAGCTGGTATTTCAGTTGTCAAAAGTGCAAGTTCAATCCAATTGTCCAGTTTATTCTGCATCCCCAGTCTAGTAACTTTGGAATTTGAGGGTGAACAAAAATTAAAAAAATAAATAAGAAAATAAAAACAGTGATGATGTTAACCACCACATTTTGACTCTAGAATTATGGTGCTAAGGATTCTCACCTGCCCCTGTTTCTCTCTACAATTTCACAGAAATCTGGAGCAGCTGCACGCATATGCAGAAACATGGGAAGCTTAGTGGTGTGTGCCAATTCAAACTGCTTCTCAAAATACCTGGAGTTCACAATACAGAAAAAAAGATGGAAAAGACAGAACGTATCTTGTAACAGAACGAAAGTAAAAGCATGCAAGCGGAAACAGATAATAAGAAAATCTACTTTTTTCAGAAACCACGTACTTTTTTTGGATCTCTGCTGGGCAAAACTGAAGCCTGTCATAGTCCAGTCCACACTCACCAATTGCAACCACCTTACAAGCACAAGAGAACGAAATAAGCAGTATAAAATATATTGCTCCATGATATGAATATCTGACCAGACCACTCTCTCAAAGATGTTTTAATGACTTGAAACCCTATAATGCACGCCTCATGTTCCTTGTGATATAAAGAACTTAGGGTATGGGGCACACCTTTCCCTTCTCGATGCCCTCTTTGGCCAATGACAGAAGCGCCTGAAAATGCTTATCTGGATCCCCACTCTCTTCAAATTCCTAAACAGAATAGACAATTATCCTAATTCTCAAGCATCTCTAACCAAAACCGGAAATCAATAGACACACATATCAACTTCTTCCGCAGTTAAAAGTAAAAAGTGAGAAAGAAAAAAGGGCAAACCTTGCATCTAGTGGGGTGCACACCAACCGTACAAAAAAGCCTTGCTGCAAAAAAAACAAAGAAGAAACCCCCCAATTGTAGCTCAAATCGACATTTTTAAAACTTGGCAATGACATTTATTCACAACAATACAGTAACAGTAACAAACAGAGCAAGCAAAAAAAACCATCGGTTTCCGCAATTGTTAGAGCTTCCTTTGATTCCTCAAGTGATCCACCAGTGACCTACATTATCCATAAGCCTAGTTCCAATTTCAGAGCGCATTAAACCACAACAATTACTTAACAATTCAAATCGAAAAGGAAAGAGAGTTACGATAATGCGGTCGACGCCGGCAGTCCAAGCCCTGCTCAAAACCGTGGCTATATCCGAGACATGGCACTGCTTTCCATTGTATACTCCTCTGAACATTCCATCTGTAATTTGCATTTCTTCAAAATTTCAGTTTCGATAGTCGGATTTGACAAGTATGAAGTTTGATTTTTGGTAAGACAAAACTGGCATGCCAAGTGTTCGATGAAATGCCTGAGTGACTGACCTGTGAAGTTGACGGCTATGTCTATATTGGGCATCACCAAAAACAGCAGAAAGAGAGAGAGAATTTAAGAAGAATGAATGGAGGTATGAATTGAATTGTTGCAGAAAGCAAGGATATAGGAAGAGATACTTGCCTATCATGCGGATTGTTGCCATGGCCACGGCGAGAGGGAAAGGAAGAGCTGGTGCTGTAATTCTACAAAGGACTTGGATTCTCTGCCCTCCCAATTCGGTGCCCTCTCCGTGCACAATGTTTGGTCTCTGGTTTTTGTATCGGTTAGGATCCGGTTTGGTTCGGTTTAAAACTCATATTGTGAACAAAATCAATCGAACCGGTGTATTGGTCAAATCATGATCGAACTTTGTTGGGTTGGTTTTTCTTTTTACTAGATGGAACGTAACTATAATTAATGACACGTTTGCGTATAAATTGAATTAAATTAAATTCTGATTACAAAGTGCTCCAATATTTACTAAATATTGGAGAATAAAAATGTGATGGGATGCAAATAAATTTTGGAATTCAATTCCTCATTTTGGAGGAATTGAACACTGTATATAGGTGGCATTCCAATTCCGAGTGATGTTAAAATTCCAGAATGAAATTTTTTAGTTATTAGGGTTAAACTGATTTCATGTGAATTTTAAATCGATTTCATCTGTTACAAAATTAATAATAAGCAGCCATTGATGCATTTTCTTTTTTTGTAATAATTAGGCTAACGAAAATGAAAAATACAAAAAGAAAAGGGAATTTGGCTTAGGACCAAACCGCCAGAACAGGTATTGTTAAAACTTAAGTCAAACCAACCGGTATATTTCAATTGGTTCGGCTTCAATTTTAAAATAAAACTGATCCAATCCAAACTATTCTCACCCCTACTTAGCATCCACATGGACCACGTTTCTTTTGTTCATATCATTGTTCGTATCATTGACTGAGGGCTCATTTGGAAGTGTTATTAAAATGACTAGAAGTGTTTTTAGCAAAAATATTTTGGGGTTCTAAAAGCATTTAAAGTGCTTCTTGCAATTGTGCTTCTTATATGACGCATTTTAAGTGCTTTTTGAAAATTCACTTACATTTTTACTAAAGATTGGTTCCAAAAACATTTAACCAGAAGCGCTTTCAGTTATTTTAAAAGCACTTCCAAACGAGCTCTAAATCTATGAATGTCTTTGCTCTTTCGCCACTACTGCAAACTATATAGATATCCTTCTCTTTAATTAAAAAAAAAATACAAAATGTCATAGAAAGATCACTATATATGAAAATAATGCACTCTTCAACCAATCAACCTAACCAAAAAAAAAAATACAAGTATATATATACACAATACAATATACATACAAAAGAAATGGAGAGAAAAATAAGAACAAAAATGTATATGGACCACAGACATATCTCAAGCAAAAAGGTGAAAATTTAAAGCTAAAGAAACGAAATGGTAACCAAATGATTGTGAAATTATGATTTACTATTTAGGCAGCGTCGCGGCCAATATAATCCCAACGATGATGAGCAAGAGTATGATGCCATAACAAGTCCATTTACGACTGTTTTTCTGGAAGAACCTGGCCTTCTGCAACTGCTGGGTGCCAGCATGCACGTACGAGTTAGCTCTCTCCACATGACCCTGAATGTCGTCCAACTGGTCACCTTGAGCTTGCACAAGAACTGCCATGTCCATGAACACCTGGTGCAACTCATTCAGATTCCTTTCCATGGCCTTCACACCATCATGTCTCTCTTGAATCTCTTGTATGGTGTCCAAAACCCTCCATCTTCCTTGCTCTTGGATTGCCTTCTGTAAAAATGTCTCGCTCTCACCTATGTACATATGCATATATAATAGTTTGCAAATTAGTATTTAGTTGTACGAGCATCATTGACACTCCACTCACTAATTTTGCTCAGGGGTAGAGGTAATTAATAACTTAATACATTACTAATCACTACTCGTAACTTAATTAATATAGTACTAATCATTACTCTATAGTTTCATAATCGATCATTTTTTAGGTATTGAAAAATCGTCCTACAAAATTCATTTCAATCGTAAGTGGTTTGGTTGTCAAACTCTGACCTAATAAATAAACTAATATAGTATTATTAGTAATTAAACAATGAAATGTTCATAATAATAATATTCAAAGGGTTAAATGATTTCTAAATTGAGAAATTTGTTGCAAAGATGATCTATGAATGAAAACCTAAATAAATCAACAAATTAGATTATCATATTATGTTGTGGAGGGAACTGGACTTACGAAATTATTATCGTTTCCTATGTATATAGATACATGTACACATTACGTATATGGCATGACATCTTAATACGGTGTACAAATTTACACGAATTATAACATGTGTATTATATATTATTAAGGGTTAATCTCAGTTTACTATACCCTGAAATTTCTTGGCTTTCAATATTTCATACATCAAGTTTTTTTTGTGTCCCAGTCTGGTACCTAAAGTCATAATTTTGGGACCCTGTCATACATCCGTTAAGTTTTCCGTCAGAACATCCGCTAACTAATGACGTGAATGATGACTGGACACCACATGGACATTAAAAAATTAAAAAATTAATGTCCATGTGATGCTCAATCATTATCCACGTGGGCGTCACACTATCAGTTAATAGAGGTTCTGACGGAAAACTTAACGGATATATGAAAGCGTCCCAAAATTATGATTTTAAGTACCAAACCAGGACGAAAAAAATTAATATATGAAATGTTGAAAACCAAGAAATTTCATAATAGTAAACTAAGATGAACCGTAATATTAATATCTAACTTCTAAACCTCAAATGAATCCAAGATCTGCACGCCCAAGTGTATCAAATATATGAACCAATAGTCTTTCATATCTGTAGCACTCAAACCTAGATTCACTCTAGAACTCGCTTCTAGGGACAAATCATTTGTTGAATAAATTTGGTGGGCGTAACGTTATTGACCTGCTATTTTTATTTCACATATTTCACACACGTTATGTTACCTGTAGAGATGAGAAGGTCTAGGGTTTTGTCGTCGGGGTTATCTCCGGTGACCGTGAAGTACCTACGCTGAACGGTCTCTCTATGCTCCGATGAGATCTTGTTCCTCAAGTCGTTAAAGCTATCCATGGAATCCTTTAGCTTCTTCCTCAGCCCGTTGACCACCGACGTCCGTGTCCGGTCAGATGAGGAGCCAGGACCGCAGCCAGGCAAGCTCCGATTGGCGGCGTTGGACTTGTCCAATGCATCCAACTGCACCTTAAGAACCTTAGCGGTCTTAAGGGCGGTATGGACGTCCGCGTCCATGCGGGATCGGAGGTCCTTGACTGCCTTGGAGTTGTGGAGACTCTTGCTCTGCTCGTGTGCGCTTTGCAAGCTCTTATTGATCTTTTGAAGCTCATTGAGCTCGTTCTGGACCGACTCCACGTCCTGGAAAAACTTGTTGAGTTCGGTGGATGTCGCCGCCATTTCAATGACATGGTGGTCCGGCGAGTCCTCGGAGAAGGAGCTGGAGAGCAAATCGTTCATTTTCCGATGCCGTAATTTGCTCCGAGATCATAAACTCTCAGAAGTTAAGCTTTTCTCTCTGAGTTTCTATGCACTCAAAATTTAGGTTTTGGATACATGTTATACACACAGAGATGTTTTGGCAGTCTTTCTTGACCTGTAGGTCAGGTCTTGGCTGCGTTTCAAGTTTTCAACTACCAACTTTGAAGGGTTCAAACAAACATTATCCCCCAAGTACCAAGTACATTCCTAGCAGCCAAGGACCATGTTTTTTCCAACCTTCTGGAATCTATTTGGAGAAATGTAGGACCGTTGTTGTAGACTATAGTGGGAACATGTGCTACTAATCTACCATGATAAAGGAGTTTTAACAAAAAATCTGCGATACTATTCACTTTAACGAAAAATCATATTTTTACACTAAAAAAATCAAACCTGATACTATTCACTTTACCCTTTATTTTGTCATTATCGTTAAAACTCAAAGTTTTCAAGCACTTTTTATTAATTTTCTTTTTCTTTTCAGAGCTTTTAGAGATAAAGACTTACTAAAGATGATTTTTAGAATATGACCTGCAAGGTTTATAACATTTAAAATGATCTTTCATTTTAATGCACCATGACATGCATGTCACCTATAATAATACCACATATTTTACCACAATTTACATGGTTGCCATCTTAATTTTTTAGAATGTAACCTACACTTCCTGATTTCAAAAAACGTAATAGAAGGGGCGAGAAAACATTCATATCACAGAATTGAAAACAAGACGTGAAAGCAGGCTACAATTGCATCTGTAATCAATGAAAATTTTCAAATTTTTAAATGGCAACTGTCACAAAACAGTATGTTAGGTATTGTTACCTTCTACATCTCCATAAAAAATCTATTTGAAGCTACAATAAAAAGAGAAATTATTGTTCAGGTTAACGATTCGCTGCCTTCGTCGGAACCCAAGAATCACTTGTAAGCTCACAACAGTGGGTACGGTTTGTGTTGTTGTTGTCTTAATCATAAGGTATATAGTGTGGAAAATGTGTGTAGCTCTCATAATCAACACACCAGTTGATACTTGTGTAGCTTTTTGGTACAGTTGGTATGTTTAGGTTCGATAGTTTTCTTTGTTTTAGCAAGAATAGATTATTTTGCAATGCACACCATACCATGTGTTTGTTGAAATCCTATGTGGTAAATTTGCATTTGGTGGTTTTGTTTTTAATTTAGGTACGACCAATTAGGTAGGTCCGATCGATTCAGTACAGTCAGTTAGGTACGCTATATAGGATGTGAAGCACAGATGGAAACATTGTAAGTAGAATAGGATGTGATGTGAAGGTGGGGGATGAAATCTCAATTAAAAATAGTGTAATGTACATCGTAGCTGGGTAGGGATTGAGGATATGGCCTAAAGTATTTGCTGGCTGTGAAGTGCCATCATTTTTTTGAATTTTTATACGGTCATTTAAGTCCAGTCGATTCAGTATGATCAGTTAGGTACGTTACTTAGGATAGGTTCAATCGTTTTGGTACAGTCAATAAGGTACGGAAAACTTATGTTTGATTCCAAAACATAGTTCTATCAATTTCGGGTTCAGTATATAGAAAAGAAGCGTGAACATTGTCATCAGTAGAGAAGGAGGAAAAAACTGCATTGCCGCCAAAGATGGGGAATTCCATTGTAACCAGAAGAGAAGAGATGTGAAGAATCAATAAATACAAAACACTAAAACATTGATTTGTAGGAAACTAAACTACAATAATTCTATTAAAAAATGATATGGAATACTATAATCTGACATGGATGACTATTTTTAGTTTTTAATCTTACATAGGGTTTACTGAAAAAATAATCTTATTTAGGGATTAAAATGAAGTTTTCTACATTTTTTTTCCTCAAGGTTTAGGTTTGGAAATCATTTGCTCTATCTTGGAAGTAGGAAATCTTACATGCCCCAATCACAGATTGACATGTCTGCAATAACTTTTCTTTCTATATTTTTTATGAGTTATTTTTGTGTACATGTCAAATTGTGATTAAAATGTAGAAAGTCTTTGCATATAAATTAAACTAAAGTTGATTAATTCTATCTAAACACACACACACACACACACACACACACAAAATGACAAACTATCTAATACAGGTAAATCTCATATACAACCGTATTATGGATTGATCTTTGGGGTTACCGTAACTTCCTTTCACTAATTTTGCGATTAACAATCAAAATGAAAGGTAACAAAGGACATCGATTGCTAAGCTTAAGTTTTGACCCCAAACAAACAGCACGAAAGTAGAATTACAAGCTTAAGTCATTTACAACACAACGGGGTACGCACAATATACGCCATTTACAAAATTTAAATTTAAAACTTTTTATTTATCAATGACGATGGATACCACTTGATCGTAATACCAAGTGACTTCTTAATTATGTCATTTTCTTGATGCCACCCTAAGAACCATTTGTGACATCCAATATTTATTAATATTTGGTACTACATAATTATCACTCATCTCAATTTTCAGATTCCACGGAGAAAATAAAAAAGAAAAGAACAAAAAGAGCATTTATACGTTTGATAATTGTCTAGTTGCACACTTCCACGTTTAATGTCCATCCTTCAAGTTAGCAAGTTAGAGTCAAAATTGATCTGCCCCCTTGACCACCAGGCCTCTCCAATATTGATCAGAATTGTCCATCCTTCAAGTTAACTCATTATTTTGGCATAGAGGATGCAAAAGGATACAAAAATAGTAACTTCATATTACGGTCGAGCAATATTTTTCTTTATTTTTTACTTGTAAGTGAAAGTTTTAAGTTAGAATCACATGGCCTTTTCCCCCCAACTGTTAGTTTTTTATTATTCTGTCCAAATTTATGTTAAATATAAGCATGTGCACAACATGTAAGGGTAGTTCGGTCGCTTTATTCTTTAAAATAATTGAAAACCCTAAATTTCGAAAATGTCGACCTATGCAAATTTGTGTGATTATGTAACTTTTGTGTCTAAATGTCTAGCGAAATGTCATTTTTTTCTTCTAAACAAACAATATTATCTACACTAAATAAGTGGACTAAGTCTCACAATTGACTAGTAATACACCTCTCAAGGTACCCACCTAGCAATTGCTAGAGTTTCTTGCCTACCAAATGTTGTGGGGTCAGGCGGGTGGCCTAGTGAGTAGTCGGGTCAAAGACCCGGAGACACTAGTTTCAAAAAAAAAAAATAATAATAATAATAATAATAATGTAGTTCAAATTCACTTGGCTTTAAACCGTATATAAGACATCTCATTTATAAGTAAAGAGAAATATCACTAAACTATAATCCTAAGTGGCTACATTCTAACTTTTAAGTATTTTAAATCTCCGACCACTTTTCCCACCACACGTTTGACTCTAAACTGACCTTTACAAAGGAGAAGGATCCCCGTGATCGTTACCGTTCATCTTACGCAATGAACCTATACAAGAGCTTGTATTTTAATTTTTAATTTTTTTTTTAAACAAAACGATATTTGAAGCTATCTTAGTACCGAAAAGAGATTTAAACTTGATACGAGTAAGCAAACACAACTCTGATCAACTGGTGAAACCTAACAAAATAAAATGAAGAAACCCCTATTATAAAAAATAAATCAATGTCACAAAAATTTAACACAAACAATAGGAATGTGGAATATGAACAAATCACGATACTCTTTACTCTCTCCTCTCCTCTCCTCTCCTCTCCTCTCCTACTGCGGTTGCGGTGGCGGTGGCGCGGCGGGCGTCGGATTATTGATATTATTATTGTTGTTATTGCTACCGCCACCCCAATTCCAGGGCTTCAAGCTGAGGATCACGATCAGAATAATAACCAGCAGCAGAATAATGGCGAAGCAAGACCACTTGCGGGTGTTCTTCTGGGAGGCCCTGGCCTTGGTGAGCTGCTGGGTGCCACTGTTGACGAACGAGTTGGCTCTCATGACGTGGTTTTCGATGTCGTCGATCTGCTCCCCCTGCGCCTGCACCAGCACGGCCATGTCCAGGAACACCTGGTGCAGCTCCTGCAGGTTCCTCTCCATGTCCTTTACGGCGTCGTGTCGCTCCTGGATCTCCTGAATCGTGTCAAGGACTTGGCCCCTCCCTTGCTCCTGTATTGCCTTCTGCAGAAACGTTTCGCTCTCTCCTGCAGATTTAATTCCCAATTTGGTTAATCAAATACTTCATTAAGCATTTATTTTTTCAACCAAAAAAATAGTTCACTAAGCACTAAAATTGCAGGATTAGTTTTTAAATTGCGACGGAATTGGAGCTTTGGTCCTTAAATTAAAAATGATTGAAACTGGTATTGGAATTCACACAAAATGTGAAGCCTTGGTCCTTCGTGCCAATTCACTAAGAATTTCCGTCACAATTAAGCGACGGTTATAACAAAATCGAGTAACATAATTCTTTAGGCACTTCCGCTTTGCATGCTTAATTTTGACGGAAATTCTAATTAGAATTATGGTTGCACTTTAAGGTTTTAAATACTACATCCCCGTAATTTTGACGGAAATTCTTACTAAAGTTATAAATAAAGATCAATGCTCTACATTTTGTCAAATTTAAATCGAATTTTAATGAATGTTTAGTTTTAAGGTAAAAGCTATAATTTAGTCAAAGTTTGGGACTAATGTCGCAATTTACTCAATTCCATTAAGCAGCAAAATAAATGGCGACGAATGATGGTTAAAATGCGAGAATGACGGATTTGCCCTTACCGGTGGAGATGAGGAGGTCTAATGTTTTCTCGTCGGGATTTTGGCCGGAGACGGTGTAGTACCTCCGCTGTACGGTCTCGCGGTACTCGGACGAGATCTTCTGCCGCAGAGCGTTGAAGCTATCCATGGAGTCCTTGAGCTTCTTGCGGAGGCCGTTGACGACGGAGATCCGCGTCCGGTCCGACGACGACCCCGGCCCGCAGTTCGGCAGGCTCCGGTTCGCGGCGTTGGATCGGTCTAGCGCCTCGAGGCGGACCTTCAGCACCTTGGCCTTCTTCAGAGCGAGAGTGACGTCAGCGTCCATGCGGGATCGGAGGTCCTTGACGGCGGAGGCGTTGTGGAGCGTCTTGCTCTGCTCGTGGGAGGACTGGA